TATATATATATATATATATATATATATGTATATGTATATATATGTATATGTATATATATATGTATGTGTGAGCTGTGCTCGTGGTTCTCTGAGGTCTGATCCGCTATTGATGGAGCAGAGAGGGTTTTGTCATGTGACAGATTTGCAGCCTCAGCTCTATCTCGGTTTTGCAAAGACATACCAATGCTTTCAGACACGGGTTGAAACAATAGGGCTGTGGACTGACATATGTACATTTTGTTTCAGTTGGATTTCAACAAACATGACCTTTGCCTCCGGTAAACATGTGGTCAAAAATTAATGGCCAACATCAGTGGACATCTTACTAATAAACAGATGCAGCCATAGCCAGTAATGCATATTCACCATCTGTACCTCTATTGTGAATATATATGGTAGTTAATTAGAAAACTATTCATTGGAGAACCACATTTTAATATTTCTGTCTATTTGATTCAAACGTATTCAAGGCTTTTAAAGGGATGTGAATTTAAAGAATATTTGAGATGACATACAACTTCAGTTTCATCTTGTGGATGTGAGCCTATACCCTCTGTGTAAAGCAACTAAAGCAGCTGACTTTTACAAAACACTTTTGGCAGCATGTGGTCACCAATCAATGGTCTGCCAAGCCAACAATAGACTGTCCTGCTGCTGAGAGCCATAATATATATTCAGCGCTCAGCCTACAGATCTGTTATGAATACACAGTACTAGCACCGCATATACATTTTGGAATTCTTCCAAGAGTTCATTCTGTGTGTTGTGTGTCCCTTTTCAATTAACAACATAATGATTTTTCTTTCTAATGGTTGGTTCATGAATATCTAAATTATATTGAAATGAATGTGAATATAACGTGGGAATTGGAGTATTTTGGAAACAGAAGTACAACTCCCGAGTTGGGTTCTAATTCGTTAAGCATACATTCCCTTGATCATACAAATTACTAGAGAGAGCCAAGTGGAGAAATCAAACAAACAAACACACACACACACACACACACACACACACACACACACACACACA